AACGCGGCTCTTTTCAACTGATGAGGGGGGGTGCTTCTGCTGAAGGCAGATATACAGCTCTGGTGGCAACATCGACAAATTAGAAAAAAGACTTGGAGAGAAACGTCTGCCACCACAAACAGGGTTCAAATTTACAAAAGGGATACCGGTATCCATGACATATATGGCAGTGTCGAGGGGCCGTAGCGACTCAGTCCAGTTACCAGCGGATCTTGGGTTCCTGGCAGGAAATGGAAGTCTTGAGGCGGCACGGTCTTGATTTGAGCAACGGTAAACCCTTGGGCGTGGGTGGGAGCTGGAGGGATACAGCAGTGATACGCCCCTCCAGAGTGATGGAGCTCTGGCGTGATCATCCTACCCGCAGTTTGTCACATTTGGTGAAGGTGCATGAGTTATACGAATAGTTACAACATCCGTGACCAGCAGGAATGCCATGAAACTGGCTGTAACATAAAGAAACATATTTTAGAAACATTTGGTACATGACTGTACACAGAGCAATGGTCACACTGCTGTTCAATTTCGTATGACGTCACTATTTTACTCGTGAATATGTACTTTCCGTTAATAAAGAAGTGTTAATGTTCCTCCATTTTACTACTTCACAGGGGATGTAATGCCACAATAACTTTGCAGGAAAAGTTTTCCTACTTTTATCCAAGTCAAAAAATTTAAAACATGTCTCTGTTTACAGATATGTCTGGGAATCATCACAAACATGCGGGAGCCTCGCAGGTTCGTCTTCTTGTCTGGGCAGTCCCTCGATCTCTGTCCACCGTATTAACGAAATGTCTGAGCTTTGTAGAGGACAGTCTGGTTATCTTTGAGCCGTACTTTTGCGCTTATCTGCTGGGGCCCCAAAGGTTCGTGCCAGAGGTTCTAGATGCTGTCGAGGAAGTCGGGCTAGCGAATTACGAAAAAGAAGCCGCTGAATTGACTTCAGTTAAAGGTGGGTTTGAAGCATCCGAGTGCACTTACGAGTGGGCAAGAGAGCAACTCGAAGCAGATCATGTTGGAAAGCGTTTTGTCTTCTGCAAAGACATTGCCTCTGCAGTTATTATCGGAGACAAGTTGGAATTTCTCCCACGTGACTACCGACATGTGTTCCTCATCCGCCACCCGCTTAGAGTCTTCCCGTCTATGAAGGAGATGATCCGTTTAACTGAGAGGGCATCCCATGATTTCAGTCTGGATGAAGTGAAGCGGTTCCCGACATACAGTATGTTTCGGGACGCGTCTGACCTGTCCGACCACATACGGAAAGAGCAAAAGCAAGAGGCAATCATCATCGACGCCGATGACCTTCAGCAAGATCCTCGGGGCGTCCTGTCGGCGCTTTTCACCGCCATTGGGATGCCCTTCCAGGAGCGGCTCTTGAACTGGGAGGCAGGGGATGCAGTGTCTCGTTCATGGTTCATCTCCACGACGCAATTGAGAGGAAACCAGATCGGGCAGTATTACAAGAATGCCTTCGCTAGCACGTGCTTCCTAAGGCCGAGCGCTCTACCGGATCGTGAGTCGCTCTCAGCGGACATTCTCCGCTGCGTCGATGCCTCCATGCCCTATTACAAGAAGATGTACGCCCAGCGTTTGAAACCTTGTTAAACGTTCAATACACGCAAGGTTTGACTTGGAAAGTATTTGTGTGACACTGCCCATGATTGATCGAGATTAGTAGTTACAATTACTATAATCGTAACAATTATTCCAACATTGATAGTATTGGTGTGGTTGGTGAACAAACCTATCAGGAAATAGGTCCATTAGTTCCCTGAATGTAGTCAACGCATGTTTATTCATTTCAAGCGGGCTGAGCATTTGCAGGTAATTCCGTCTGTTGACACCACCCTTAAGCTTCCTGTACCTACCTCTGTCAGGATTCCCACGGAAATCTGTAAACTAAAATTGCATCACACTGTCGAGACTCTCCTGGACCAAACGATGACAATTTCCATTACATTTGATGCCAGTTTGCAGAGAAAAATTGTTCGATATTAGGTAGCCCACTACTATAGATTGACCACGAAGAGATGGGCATCCGTAGCCTATGAATTTGTCATTATATCGTTATAATGACTTAATAATACATGTAATTAATTTAAACACTTAAAAATTAGAACACTTAAAAATTAGAACAGAAATAAACAACTCAAACAGAATCTAGAGATATGGTCATAAGTACCATGACTATGTAATATAGGTAATCAACTTTATCATCAGAAATACATTTATTTTATCAACGAAACGCACACAAGCATAATGAAAGTATATAATCATGATCGTGGAAAGAATAAATGAATGACAAATCCACATTATTGCTTTAAAAATTAAAGATCAAAAAGACACGTATCCATGCATAAGCCCAAGACCCCTCCCATACCCAAATACAGCTGAGTGGGGAAATTTCCCCGTTGCCAAACGTTTTACTTGTGAAAAGATTAGTTTTGTTTTCAACAAAGTATTGGTGATAGTTCGTAAGACTTTAATATAATTTCGAAACTGTTTATGAGAGGTCAAAGTTTGGGAGGATATTTCTTTTTCAGGTCAAGTAGTTTTCCAGTTTTCGCTGTAGAATTTTACAAAATTTCTTTTTTGAGGTGATTTCTTTGAGAAGTAATCGGACATAAAAAACACAAGTTATAAAATTGTTACACATTATTTTTTTATGGAAGGTCTCCGGATGCGTGCCTACAGGGGTCAACGTTCAGGTTCTATTGTCTAGCATGTATTTTTTAACGTCTTACATGATATTAATAAAGTTCGTTGACTCATCAGTGAAACGCTATATAGGTGCAATAGGGGCCTTTTCCTATGTTTGAAATTTGCAGAATGTTTTTTTGTTCATATTGTCAACTGAGTTAACACGAATAAACTAGCGGTGGATCCATTTCATATTTGTGTTTCTCATTTCTCTTCTCAGAAGAAGGCTGGGTTAGTGGGTTGACACTGGATTCCCACTGGGGTGTGGGAGGGATTGTGTAAGGGGATGGGGGTTTTCATTAATGGTGGTGATGTGGACGCACAAGTAACAGGGAAATAAATCTTGGAACTCAGTGAATTAGGCTTACCAGTCCTTGGGAAGACATGCATTTTCGATGGACATTCAGGCCTACGTTTTCTCTGAAAAAGTATTTTTTTATCATCAGGCCTATTATTAAATATTATGCATTTGCAGGCTTATGTACATGTAGTTCAACAAGATGGCTGTTTTAATAAACTTTTCTGGAGGCTGATTAATGCAGTCTCCAACGGCGTGAACGCAAAGAACTGCTATAACAACGATCTTAATGTCTTCGAATTAATAGATGTGCCGGGAAAGATGGGCAGAGAATATTAATAAGAATGAATGTCCTCCAAAGTGAAGCCTGGATTAAAAGACCGTAAAGGAAAAGTAAATGTGAGTTCATGTGGTCTAGTAAACAATGATTTCATATCTTCGTCAACGGAGAAATGACCAGGTTGTATGTCTGGACTGATTTAAAACGGGGGGGGGGGCTCTGACACATCTACAGTTAACATTACAATGATTACACCTGGCGAGTGAGGGTTCAACAAATCCCCAACTGAACGAGTCCTAAGTTGAGCGATTTGGTTGCCGCGGACACCACTTCTAATGTGGTTTGCACATGGATAGATCAAGTAGATCAATCAAAATCCCGAACTACATGTGGGGGATATAAGTCGGACCTTCTAACATTTTAACCACATGCTGTTCTACTGTTCAGAAATGCATGAGTACTATAATTCTACCATAATCAAGACAAGAGTTCTGTATCTGGACATCAATTGACACCCTGCGTGGAAACCCTATGAGTCTGGTCTGCAAAGTGTTTTCTAAGTAAATGGTTCAACATTAATTTTCAGTGCTAAATTTAACTCTTTAGGAAACGTTATTATTCTCTGGTGTGATGTCCATATGCCCTCTTCACTGTATAGTAAGCACGATCTTTGTACACACTTTTTAAGTGTAAGAATTAAGGGGGGGTACTGAATGTCTAGGCATTGTAGCCAGGTTCACAAGTGCCTGCCAAATGACTTCCTATTATCTGCATACTTAAGCATTTTGAATTCTCCAGCCACTACAAACTGGAATGAAGTACAAAATCGTGACAAGTGAAGCAAAACAGGATAAGGACAATGAAAATGTATAACTAGAGAAACTTGAGAATCCCAGTAGGTAAACCCCTCGCTTCCTTGTACATCCTTGTACATTCCTGAAGACAAGCTTCATCCATATTCTAACAAGAGGTTGGCTTCAACAGAAAATGGCACATGTAGGTATTTGAGATTTAGTAACTTCTTAAGGCCTGTTTATTAGAACGTCGTCATGGATTGTGCCGCCTAGCTGAAAACCATGACTTTATTTGGCCTGTATGATGGATGTGATTATCACTTCAGACGGTCCTCAGGTCTTTGCGTGTTGATTTTCTCTGCAGGCCTTTTTCATGCTGGTTCAGGGGCAACAGTGGGCTGGTAAATTAAATTTACTTCATTACAGCATCGAACGAATTTACTCACGCGCACCCAGCATGGACCTGAAAATAAAAAACAAAATGTTCACTAGCTAGGCACCTTGCGAGGGTCCGTGTGATTAGCATGCTATTTACACGCTAATGCGGACATTATTTTCTTTAATTGTATTTAAGTGTGTTCACTTATGGAAACTTGAAAGTATTGTTCATTGTTTGAAAATAATGGAAATCATACTCATTTTGTCTTATTTTAAAGGAGGCAGACAGGGGTCTATGAAGTATGATATGCGTCTTTGTGTTGCAACTCGCTTTCTGACCATACGGCAAAATATCAATCGAGGAAGATTACACAACACGCATCATTTAAAATATTACTCATTAGCCTAGGTCTGTTTTATTTTATCCAGCAGCCTGTTTTGATCGTATTTTCTCTATTCATGATGTGCTTTGGAATAAGCAGAGAACTCTTTGAACAGAAAGCAGCTTTGCTTGTCTTTGTCCCATGTTAGGCTAGTACAATCTTTGCCAAAACCTCGAAATGCCAATGAGTTTTAAGTTTGCCAACAAATATATATAATTTTTGAAATACAATTTAGTCCTAATGGATTTGCTGATAAATTGATCAAACAACTTTATCTGTTTTGGAATGGAACAGTCAGTGCTTCACAAGTCCATGGCATGGAGCTAGGCCTTTCAGTCGACGAGCAAATTAGCAGCCAATTAGCTGCAGTGCCAGGCACAACGCCGGCCAGCAGGTGCTCCACTTGTACTCCATGGCGCTTCAATTAATGGGGTATATCTTGATTGCCCAAACCATGCGTACACCTGGCTTAGGAGAATATCCATATGCAATGCCATTGCAGTGTGCCATCTTTCCGGATATGTCTATGGAATGACTCAAGGTGTCAAAAGTTAAATGGAAATGCCTGGTTAAATCATTGTACGTGTACAGTGTACAAGTATAGATTTATACCAGGCAAGATATGGGACGAAGGGATACCCCCCTTACCTGTCCAATCCCTGTGCGCACCCTAGACTATTGTTGCCTAACACATCCCCCCCCCAAGTAGGTAAAGAATTCCTGAGATTCCGATCAAACAATGACCAACACAAAGGCGGGGGTTCTCTCCGTCCTAATCTTGCTTCAAATGTATTTCAGACATTTTGTGGCTTAGGCCGAGCCAGTTTTCTGAAATGTACAGTAACAACCTGAGACATAGTTGGTGATTAGGAAACTTACCTTTCAGACAAATGTTTGAATCCCAATCTCTGCTTACGTTTCACATACTTGTCTGAAATGTATGACCACTGTTAGTTTCAGACTTTTTAATGTCTAAAACGTATTAAGCCCACTGTTCACATATCAGACATTTTGACACTAACAAAAGCATTTCAGATATTCCTTGTTCGAAGTGTGTAGACATTGGTTTCATCCTGTCGGAATATGACGACCAGTCGGTTGACTTGCATAGGAAATCTACAGTGTTGACACAGTAGGAAAGAATATACTTCTCTGGTATAGTTGGTAAACAGTGTAAACATTTAGGGCTTTTTATTGACATAATCATTTCTGTAAAAGTAAAAAACTTTCAAAAGATAACAATAATTTGTTAATATCTTGCAGACATGATCAAAATTAGGTTTTGCATTCCAGAAACAATATTACAGGTATCAAAAATATTTATAGATTTATAAAAGCATCAAATACAAGACATTTACCAACGTTTTATTTCAAACATTTTATATAAATAACAAATACAATTTGAGCAATACTGTAGATATCTCATGAGGAGATCCAGTTTATTAAAATGGGGGTGCTAGAGAAAGACCAAACAAAAGCCTAAGTGCAGCAAAACATCTAGAACAAAATTTACTCACTCAGCAGGAGGGAAAATCTCCAAAAATGTCACCTGGTAAAGACAAGGTCCTCAATACTTCACCTGCCAAGTTTGAAATCTCTATTCCACGGATGATCTTTCTTCAAAATTTTGCTCTAGGGAGTGAAGCTAAGAAAGTTCAACATGAAGAAGCCACAAAGGATTTTGATCCTTGTCCATCAGTTTGAAAAAAAATCCTAACTGGTGGATTAACTATGGAGGAAATGCGTAGAAAAAGGAAACGGGTACCAGAAGTGCCTTCTGACGTGGTTATTCAATGAAGCTGAAAAGGATGTTTAGACTGGCACCAATCCATTTGCCTAAAGTGACAGCATCAAGTGTATTTGAGGTTTTCAGCGAAATGTTCCATTCTCCCTCACTAGTATTGTATTAAAATTATTCGAAGTACAAATCTTGGAGTTTACATATAGTGCTGTGGTGCAGAAATTTCATCCTCTGATTACATTTACTGTGCACGACATTTACAGTCCTAAAACTTCTGGTCGTGATAACTGGCTACAACACTAAAAAGAAACAAACAAACAAACAGATCAAACCAATCTTAAGATATTGACCAATATAGTATGAAATGTAATTGTCTCTTCAATTTGTCAGGCAGTCTGCCACGGGTTTCAGTTGCATCTACACGGCAAGTGTTCTTTGAATACAGATTGGCATCCGTGCATCAGTAACTGTCAGCAAAACTCAGACCATGCCAAAGCATAAGTCCGGTGGCACAAGCCCCCGAGTTGTTTAACATTACGTTCCAACAAAGCCCAAATGTGCATAGTTTGCTGTTAAGGTTAGTCTTTGTTTGAAGAAGCCATCGTGGATTTGAATATAAAAACTGTGCTAAGCTGTGTGAGGGCGCTATCTTGATGAGCCACTGTCATCTACCAACCACTGAGGTTGGTGGGTAAACGCTGGTGTACATGTATGTAGAGAGTGTGTCGCCAGTTTCAGATTTTGAAAACAAAATGGCAATTCGTGAGTACAGCCTTCAGCTATTATATACGAACTGTCCAAGAGCACTGGTGCATACACCTGCCAGTTTGTTTCTAACAATGATGACACTCATGTCACAACTTTCTTTAAACATGGCTCTGGGTAAATGTGGTTCAAAGCACCTTCTTGCAGCAGCTGGTTCTCTAACACATCTATATGTACATCTGGAAATTAAACCTTGACAATGGTCTTCCCTGGTTGATGGGGGATGTGGGGTTGCAGTGTATATTCAAAATAACACANCATTTAGAAAAGGGCCGCTGTGTTTGCAGACCGTCTGAGAAAAAACATTCCCCTTCGACTGGGTTTAATGCCAGGAGACTGGCATAACCGCCAAATTCAGCAGTGTGATAGCTGAGTTGAATAACAACAGAAACCGTACATGTGCTGCGTAACTTCACTAATGTAGCACTGCACATAACGTTCCATCAGAGTGGATGAAGTCACAGAGGATGATTTATGAACAGGAATTGTATGGAAAGTCATGGTATTAGTTACTGGAAGGAAGAAAAAAGGACGAATGGGAACATGGCTTTTGTTGCTAGGTGAAGGTACACTTGTATGAAATTCAAATGTGCCTTGGAGAAAAGTTGCTGCAAAGGCACAGGCAGAGAAATCCACCATGCTTGAATACAATGACTTGGGTGAGTATGTAATGAGTTGAATAATGACAAGTTGGAAACAGTGCCACATCTTTTGCCCCACCCAAATAGCTTCCATGAGATATAGGCACAAAGTTCACTGAGGTTTGCCTTATCTAATCAAATAAAAACCCTACAGACTGTCTGGTCTTTCCTGAGATCTCTTCTTTGGCTTTGTGACAAGGGGCATACACTGCGGTGTTACATTTTGCTGGGCATAGGAGGGGTCTTTTTGAACTTGTGGAAGTCGATGCCTCTCTCATGGGTGACTCGCATGACCTTGTCGTGGGCGTCCTCCTCAATCAGACTGATGAAGCCCTCGGCAACTAGGGACACCCTGCAGAAGGGCATGTAAGAAAACACTAGGGTGTAGCTAACCCATCAACATCCACTCTTCTAGTCTTAGTACCCGAGATCTTTGTAGATTCATCGTAACTTTCCCCAATATATAACTTACAAGAGAACAGTCACAAAAAGAAATAACCACCAACAATCATCCAAATAATAATTCACTTTTCCTTTGAGCAGGCAATTTCCCAGTCAGATTGGGGTTTTACTTGCATCAGGATCAGTACAGCTGCATATGTGCAGGGAATGCATGTTTTAACCACTTGCAAAAGGCATCATTTACAAACGAATGAACCTAGGTATTATTCTAAGGGCGATATTATATTCAGCTGAAAATAAGGACTTTTTCAATGAACAGGGTACAATTTCATAGAGCTGCTTAAGCACAAAATTTGCTTAAGCGCGAAAAAACCTTATTTGATAAATCAGGTAACCAGCCAAAACTCCAGGTGATGTATATTGTTTTGGGATTGTATTTAGCTGATTTTTGGTTAGCATGACAATCAGATAGAATTTGAGCTGGGTAACCTTTATTTATTAAGCAAAGTTTTTTCCTGCTTTAGCAGACTTTGTGCTTAAGCAGCTCTATGAAATTGGCCCCAGATGGTACCACGAGCAAAGCACTTTAGAGCTGGAATTTACAATTTGGAGCCCTTAGTGGTCATTTCGTTAAGATTCGTGGAACCTTCCCTACTACATCGTCGCTCCTTAGAAACTCTAGGACCTGGCAGAGTGATATTTGCTACAACTACCAACTGTGGCCTATAACCATTTGAGGGTTCCACACACACTCACCCTCCATGGACTACATTGAGCCTCTGTGTGTACAACATTGAGGGGATCAGTTAAGAACAGGGCCAAGCATAGATCACCTGCCACTGCATAAGAATGCATCTAAACATATTAGGGAGCATTTCATAATTGTTGAAGGCGGTATTTACTGCGGTACCGCTGTTTTTTTTAGCGGCACCGCACTAGTTACCCGAAAGGGCTTAATGCTGGTACCGCAAAAATACAGCGGTACCGCAGTAAATATCGCCTTCGGTATTTATGAAGCGTTCCCTTACGGCATGGGAACTCACTGCATGTTCACATGTCAGCCAACATGAAGTGGTTTAAAGACAATAGAGTTCTGTAGGTAAAGGAAACAAATGCTTCACTAGAGACAGGTACACACAGGCTGAAAAAGGGAACCAAATTGGCAGAATCCTCCTTGACTTACGGCAGCAATTTAGCAACACTAATCATCTGTTTCCTCACACTGGGGTCGATGAATTCAGGGGCTGCTGACTTGTCATTAATGGATGTGTCCGAGAAAGATGGACAGAGAGTATTGATACGAATGTCCTCTGCAGTGAAGGCTGGATCAAAAGTCTATTAAAAAGAAAAACACAGGAAATTTACATGTATGTGTTTTTATGTGGTCTAGACTACTCTACAACTGTTTCATCTTCACCCATTGGTAAATTGAAATATTGAGAATTTTCACTGTTTTCCTGATTGAAACACAAGGACGGCTGTTAGCTAGCTGACATTACACCTACACTGCAAGGGTTCAACAAATTCCTGACTGAACGAGTCACAAGCAATTACATGTACATGTAGGTTACTCCAGACTCCACCTCTGATGAGTTTTGTATGTGGGTAGATCAGATAACTCAAAGTAACTGAAGCCAGCTCAGAGCAACATTTAATTCATCAAAATCTTGAACTCGAGACACAACTCAACACTCTTGACATTTTCAACCATATGATGTTCTGCAGTTGAGAAATGCCCAGAAACCCCCCCCCCACTTTTTCCACTGGGGGAGGCATGCCCAACCCCCTCCACTTTTTGCAGGTCTCATAATGGGGTGGAGCTTAATGGATCGCCAATTAATGGCTGATGTCTGATGGTCTCACAACTACCCTCCCCCACCATGACTAGGCGACTACACAAGGCTGTACATGTATGCAATGGAACCAGGTTCCCTGTGCACTGATGTTCGGAACTAGTTCTACAAAAAGGTACAAGAAACCTGTAAACATCTAAAACAAATTATATCTCTGCAGCAACTTTCATACAAAGAAAATAAAAGGTTTTAAAAGGCTTTAACAGAACACTGTTCAAAAAGAAAACCTGACCACATGGAACGCTGAAACAAACTTCATATTTATGTTGCAAGGTTGTTGATAAGCAGGTTTAAAAGTCAAAATTAGTCCTTTTTTTCTTCTTTGAATTTTGCAGTTACATTGTGCAAGTAGGCTTTTCAATGGGTACCAGGATACCTATTTTATTTCAATATAATACCGGGTTCATGCATGATCTGTTATGGACAATGCTAAAGAAAACACTGGTACAAGGACAAAAATGTAAAATCTGGTCAAGTGCATTCACTTACGGCCATTGTCCGTGTAAATCCCACCACACCGTGCTTGGTGGCTGTGTAGACTGGGCACAGTGGCCCTACAATCAAACCTGCCATTGAGAGAAATGCCCCAGACTGCATGAATGCTCAAGGCTTCAACTTAAAAGACTGTTCTGTAAGGGGTAAAACAGGTGGCTTGCATTGTTGTGGGGAATGAAGTTGACTGCGTGTCGATTTGGAATGCCGTCAAACCAACTGAAAACATGGGGGCTACGAGTTCGGGCTTTACTTCCACCTAAAGTGGTTTCAATGAGTATTAAATATCCCTAACATCTGAGAAAGCGTGAGATGAAGATGGTATCATTCCATGCACACCACAAAACAGCTGCACAAAGCAAAACCTGTCCGGATAATCCATTGACCAGCCTTATGAGAGCCAATTTAACCACAGTGCACCGGAGGACACCCATGATCAGGCTATCTGTCAGGCAGAGTTGACGGGTTGAAACATCAACAACACCTGAAATCACCTCTGGCTGGCATTTTAACTCTCAAAGAGCTGTGTTATTTTGGCCCATCTTGTAGCTGGGGGGGGGTGAGACTTGAGCACTGCAGTGGAAAAAGTGTACATTTTTAGCTGACCTGTCTAGGAAAAGTGGTGCTGTGCAAGTGCTCTATGTTTGATTTTCTCAAAACTGGTGTCAAAATGACCACAAAGAGCTGCTCTTAAAACTCCTAAAGCTTCGGCTCCTGACAAAATGCATTGCTGCAAGGAGGACTGATTCAGCCTCCCTTCTGCCACCCCCCCTTAGCTCTTTTAGGGTAAGAAGCTCATTCCATTTGTTTTGTACACACATCATGAAGTTTGTGGAGGCAACTAATGTGTAAATCTTGAATTTGGCCACTGTGTACAGCCTGTTGTGGTTGCAAATACTGCTTCACAAGCATGCCCGGGAGTTTCAAATACTGTAACACAACAGTAATTTGCCGAGTGGTAGCTGAGTGCTGCAGTAGTTGTGTAGGGGACAGGTACCCATACGTCAGCCAGGGCTGACATGCCGTGCTAAACGTTGGCGCCAGACTAATCATGAGTAGTATATATGAGCGTGCTGCGCACCAGAGGGATCAGTTCTTCCTCAGTTCTCTCCGAGCTTAGTTGAGTCCAGGACAAGTGTACCACTGATTCGCTGCCAGTTTGAGGTCAGTTTTGGTGTGCACATGCTGTTGTTGGGGAGAATTCCGTTCAAGAGGCGAAGATCACGGGGTGGTCAGTGGAGGTAAAATTTCTAGTTGGTCAGAGTTAGAGCTAGAGAATTGCAAAAAGAGTCTTATGTTTGGGGGAAACCTTCTTCAGTTAAATACATGTAGTGTCTTCCTAAGGTGTAACACCTGTAGCCCGCCTATCTAGGACTATTCCTGCACAGCTCCTATAGGTTCCAGTGCCTCCACTTCCACCAAACAAGTGCCAATTACAGATGACTTTGATTGAGATGATTGGGGAGAAAAAGAATCAATCATTTAGAGAAGGGTACCCCTCGCCTGTATCTGCATTGTGTCACCCATCCCAACAACCCCTTCCCTGCCCAAGTGTGAGTATTCCAGGTGCCGCAACTGTAGGTCCTCTGAAGCAATAGTGGTGCAACACCCTTCGCCTGGTGGTAGACTGCCCCAAAATAAGCCAGCTCCCCTGGCCTTCTCAGCTAGACTGCTCGCTGACGTCGGCCGAGAACAACTCTGGGTTGCTGCCAGGAGCAGACTGCCACAAGACATTAGGTTGCGGTCATAAATATTGTACAAATTCTGTATTCTTCACACGATTCTTGTGAATCCATATTTGTGGTATTTGGCTTTATGTCAAATGCTGGCCGCTAATCTATCCCTGTTTTAAAGTTGGCATTTTAGGCCAAACAATAATATCATTGGAAAGTGATTAAAATCGCACTGCGGCAACAGACAACTTACCAGCCATTGAGGCAATGTTGATGACAACACCACCCGATCCGCCATTCAGTTTGCTCATGTATTTCCTAGCCAGGTAGGTGCCTTGGACAACTGCACCCTGCAAGTGAATGGACAAAACAAACTCTCAGGGTCTATGTGACAATTTCACTGTATCCCTACTGGCCTGATTGGCTAACTATTTAAATGTGGTCTCAAAAGAAAAAAAAATTCTAAAATTTTCTATTCTAAAAACTACTACACAATCAAACTGTTTATAGACCAATTAGCAACCTGCATCCTTCATTGGTGCATGTGCAATTGTGCACACACATTTGTGCAATGTGCCTGGTTAAATATTAGGCAAGAGTTAAAATTCTCAAAAACAAGAAATGGTTACAGATTATAGGAATTCAGGTCATCAACCATGCAAAACCTCTGATCTTGACAGGCAGTGCCGTAGAAAAAGCCATTTCATACAAATATTTGGGTGCTGTAATTGACATTGAATTGAATTGGCAATAACATGTGGATTTCACCTTGTCAAAAAGTTAATTCCTTGATTAACTCCTGAAGATTCTTGTAATGTAATGTATTGAAGATTTTCGACTAGTCTGTCACTACTGAGCTTGCAATATCAGAAGCACACAGTAAAAGAGTTACACATACAAATCCTCCTGTACTCTCAACCCAAGAAATCCAGAAAGCAAGAAAAGGGAGTTATACTGATGTACATGGACTCACACATACAAGATATGGACAAATAGGGGAAGCTTTTAGTATGCGTCACTTCCTAATTGCTAGATTCGCCGTCAAAGATCCACCCAGGCTACAAGTACACTGAAGTTAAGCCATGTATTCCACCACAACTACAATGTTTTACTTGCCAAGGCCACGTAGTACAAGATTCACTGCCAGGGACGTGTTGCAATTTTTTTCTTATTTCAGAACATTTTTTCAGGGACCGAAAGCACCAGCGTTTCAGAAATGCTTCCAGAAACTACCCCCTTTTGAGGGGAAAATTCTTTTTATTAAAACAATAGACAGTTGTTTGTGCAAAAGAAAAATCCATTCCCTTCCCCGACTCAAGACCTCCTAATGGTGTCAGGTCCGTTTACCAAGTTAATGTCGATCATCTTTCTCCATATCCTTTCGTCTCCTATGCCTGCATTGTTACAAACAATGTCCAGTTGGCCAAACTTCTGTTTTGTCTTCTTGAAAGCATCTGAAAAAAGTAGAGTGATTCAACATGTTTAAAATTAAATGCTGTTCTGCAGTAAATCCTTTTTCACTCACTAGTCATAGTTTGATTTACCGAATGACCTGACGTCACTAACATATCGAGCTGGCCATGGCTGCTATGAGCCCTGCCCCAATTTGAGGCCAAGATTTGTACACATTCAAATTATAATTAGCTACAAATATTGAACATGTTGAAGCATTTCCCACAATCTGGGAAACTTGTACAGTTGAGCAACACACAACATCATGAGGTTGTTCATCCATACATGTATAAATCAGTGACTGCACACTGTGTCATCAAGTGAGTTCTGCACCTTCCAGAATACCATAATGAATCACCTTCCAGCTGTTGGTCTGACGTGACATCACACTGGAGGAAGACAGCCTTGTTATTGCCATATTGCGAGGTGAGGTGATGTGCCGTCTCCTGTCCCTTGTTATGGTTCACATCGGCTATTCCGATCCCCTGCAAAGCAAAGAAAGGTGGTTGCTTAAATATGGACTGAGGACACAACAAAATTTACTATACAAATTTGGGACCCCCTCTAAAGAGTTGTATACAGTGATCTCATTCTAGAAGCATCTTGCCATCACTAACATCAAATGTTAGTTTTGTTCTGGTAATTACATGTAAATGCCAGCACCAGTAAGCAATGGCTTTTTAGAACTTGTTTTTCTTATTAAAAAAAAAGTGTTAATACATTCTCAACAGTCCTATGGAAATGATAGGGGATGCTGGGAGGGGGTAGTGCCGCTTTTTCCTGGCATATCTGGGCTTTTGATAGTCATGGAGGAGTGCCAAGGGCTGCCGTTTAATAGAGTACATGCACATGAATGGAAGAAGTACTCAACTGCAGCTCTAGACTGACAGTCAACAATGGATGGAGTCAACTCTGTGGCATCTCTGTGATAACTGGCTCATGCAAGGGGAATGGACTCCACAAACAGCCTCCATTTTGGTCATGATTATGCAATTGGCTTTGAAAGCCAAACAATGCACTTGTTTTGTAGATGGTCATAGTTGTGTGTTTCATAGGCTTCACTTGTGCCAAATGGCCTTGTTATTATTCCCAAACTATACACCGTCAATGCCAACTGTGGAATGTGCTGCAGTTGGTTGCAGTTGGTTTGGCCCACCTCTAGTCAAGTAATTTCTGTCTACACAGAGCACTTCTCCATCTTCTGCAGGGTTTTGACAAACAACTCACATCTGACAAAAAACATTCTAATTTTGACATTTCATCCATGACACAAACCAAAACTACAGTTTGATAAGTTTGATAATGATAAGAACAAGGCCAGGCGCTTTTCCACAAGGTACATGTACATTTGTACAAGCATTTCATCGATTTTTTTCTGGTTTGGGCATAGTCTGTCCAGTAGGCTGGCCCAATGTCTGTGACCGTATGCATGTAGGTCCATGACTGGCGATGTCCTTAATTTTGCCACCTATTGTCATGTTTGATTGGCTTTCACAATACAGTAAGTGACGAAATAAAGGACCCGGCAAGGGTCATAGTATGTAGCCCAACTCAGAGTGGCTACAGTCAAAGAAGTCTACACAAATTTCTGTCT